CTTGCAGGAATTGGTAGGATGAGCTCAAAGTTAATGAGAAAATTATTCTCGGTCTCCTAAATAAGCTCTAAATCTTACCGATAGAGGACAAATGATTTCCAGAAGCAAATTATGTCCCTCTAGTTTTTATTTTTAATTCTTTGCACAAAATACAACCATGAGGTTCAAAGGATATTTACTTGCTAGCATCCCTCAGCAAAATTTAAAGCCACCAGGAGACCTGAGAAAGGGAAAACCAATCTTTGTTGATCAGGCTTTGAGAAAGAAAGTTATGCCATACTTTGGTGGAAAAACATGACTCACATATGACATAATCCCAAAAGAGAAGAGGAGGAAGGAGAACAACCAAGTAACATCCAGAAAATATATGCATATATAGATATAGATATATCATTTATTTCTCAAAAGCCAGCCTGGCTGCATATCAAGGAACTAAAAAATAAATAAATAACCAGAACAAAACCAAGTAGAAGAAATACATAATCAAGATGACAACCCCAACGACAGCAATGTGAGAAGGGAAAAGGAGGGAAGTTATAACAGTTATTTTCAAAAATGCAAGCAAATTGCAACGCCTAGGAGACAATATTCACAGTTTGCATCCGGGGGTTTAGTACAGGATCACAGAGCCATAAATAAATCACAAGCATTCATCCATCCAAGCAGGGGGGAAACAGAAAAAAAGGGGGTGGGGACCAAAAGACAGTATTGAAAACATAATCACCATTGTCTTATCTCCAATGATGAAGCAATGGGACCTTCCAATATGGGCAGTTGAATCTGACTATTTTATTTTCTTGGGTACATACAGAGATAATATCTATAGTATAGAATATATTATTCTTTATCTTCCTCCACTCATCCTTTAGACACAATGCATATGTTATTATTATTGTTTCCTATTTAGCTTGACTTCATACGAGCAGGGTATCATGAGAAACTTCAAGGTTTTGCATTAAAACACAGGAAGAGGCAGAGTGGAAAGGAGGCCCAGAAGTCAACCGCAATGCCAGATTTTCAACGATTTGGTTGATGTTCGGGGAGCAGGTCAACGAGGGGGGGGGGAGAAAGAAGGAGGGAGAGAGGGAGGGAGAGAGGGAAAGAATGAAGACGCTAAGAGTTTAACTACTGCTTTCTTCGTCCGTTTTGGTCAGTTTCTTCAGCGTATCCAGCAATTTCTGTGGGGTGAGGACATGTGTGGAACCTGGAGGAAGGAAAGAAAAAGAAGAAGACAATCAGATTTCAAAAAAGGAAGAGCAGAAGAGCACCTAAATCAAGGATGGGCTATCTGAGACTTGGCAAATCTCCCTGGACTACCACTACCAGGATCCTTTGCCAGGCTAGCTGCGTTGTGGGGACTAGCAGCTCCTCAACCTCTGGATGACTGCAGAGCGCCCATGGCAGCCATTTTTGGGATCGCCTCTGTCCCCCCCACCAACCCACTCACTCCCATCCCTCAAAGGTTGAAAAGCTTTAGAGTCAGCTCAAAAGGGCGACCCACCCCACGAAGTATTTACTCCGAAGGCAGAAAAGGGGGAAGAAGGGTAAAGAAAGATTTTATAGAGGGGGAGGGAAAACTCAAAAGTTGCCATCCCTTCATGTCACCCATTTATGGAGATTCTCAGTCATCCAGGTCACAGTTGTCCCAAAACTGCTTTTTCAAAAGGCAGCTGGACTTTGTTTTTCCTTGAAGAGGTTTCGCTTCTCATCCCAGAAGCTTCTTCACTTCTGACTGAAGAGAGTTCAATCTTCAGACAGTTCAGTCAGAACTGAACAAGCTTCTGGGATGAGAAGCGAAACCTGTTCAAGGAAAAACAAAACCCAAAGTCCAGTTGCCTTTTGAAAAAGCAACTTTGGGATGACTGCCCACCCTTCAGATTTTTTGAGATTTAAAGCAGGAGGGACGGAGACCCACCCCTCATCCCTTCCCTGTCATGAGACCAGGCCCATGTCAATATATGCACTCATATATATTAAAAGAAATGTTTGCAAAAGTTTAAGCCCATGGAAGTACATCTAAGCACAGGAGGAAAAAATAACTCGAAAGGAATCAAAATGAAAACCATCCATCACCAAAAGAAGTGTGTGTGTGTGTGTGTGTGTGTGTGTGTGTGTGTGTGTGTAAAAAAACAACCAAAACCTCCAATCACACAGCAATCAAAGTGCAGTGAGGACATGAAGGAAGACATGCAGAATTTGTCATGAAGTTCAAGAGCTGGAGCATCATCTACCAAGAGAGCCAGTAGTTGGAGACCATCTGGGTATGCAATGGCCAAGAGAACTTCTTCAGAGAAGGCCCCTTTCTCCTTTAATCCATAGAAGCCAAATTAAAGCAGAGGATAGTTTTATCCATACATGCCAAATGCCATCGTTTTAAGTTATGGAGAAGAAATAAAGAATAATTTTGCCAGAAGAAGCCATTTTTTTCTACTACATTAGCCTGAAACCTGGGATAAGCAAGAGAAAAAAAATATCCGTAATTATTTGGGACTGAGTGAGAGGAGAGAGATTTATAGATTCCTTTCCCAAGGGTTAATTCATGTTTGTTGCAGCATCCAATCAACCCAGATGGGAGGTTAGAAAGCACTGAATCTCTGTTTATGATGTGAGTCCAATGCACAATCCTACACATATTGAAGAACGCCTTTAATTCCATAGGATCCTCCTAAGGAACAGAATAATAGAGTTGGAAGGGACATTGGAGGTCTTCTAGTCAACCCCCTGCTCAAGCAGGAGACCTTAGACCATTTTAGACAGATAGCTGTCCAGTCTCGAAAGCCTCCGGTGTTGAAGCTTCCACAATCTCCCTTCCATTGATTGATTGTTCTAACTCTTGGGAAATTTCTCTTTATTTCGAGGTGGTGCATGCACCCAACATCACCAATCACAACTTACTGAACAGCAAAGTTGGCTATGTTCCTTCACCAAAACATGGAGAACGCCTACATCCAGATAGATATGCCTTCTTCTGGATCTCATGGTTTCCATGGAGCTATCATAACTGCTCATCATCCAAATTGCTCATCGTAAACGATTCCTCCGTGTGAAGGAGCAAGGGCCAATGATATGAATCCTTTCCTTTCAACTCTTTCTTCTTCTCAGATTTTACCTATAGGTTGTCTACAAGGACACCAGATATGAAGCACCATGGAGTGTACCACTTCAGTTTGTAGGTGGCGCCCTGAGGTCATAATAGCCCAATTACAAGACAGAGAAGGTTCCATTTGTTGCTGGGTGGTTATAAACAGGAGAGGCCATCATAGTTTCCCCCACCTAGAGATTGGAGTGATCTCTATAGTGCCTGATTCTGCTTGAATTATGGCAGAGAGAAAAGGAAGGCATGGAACAACAGATAAGAATTCGCAATGGGGCAAGCATCCACAGTGATGCCCAGACATTGCTTGAAAACTTGACTTTCTAGTCAAATTCTGGCTACAAGAAAACCATGGCCCAGATTTGCATGGAAGCAGCCTCAAATTCAGTTTCAAAATTTGTCATTTTGAAGCAAACATTTTCTCATACCAAGAAAAAGAAATCAGAAAAAGGAGGCGGGAGAAAGAAATCAATGGAAAAGCAAGAAAGAAAGGAATGATAAGACATATCAAAAGAAACCCTTCTGGGGGAGAAAAAAAAAGGAAGAGTTTCTTCTCAAGATAAATTGCTTTTACTTTTTTAGTTCTCTTTGGCTCTCATTCCATAGTTGGAGCCTGTTCCTCAAAAGAGACCCTAGTAGAATCTCTGAAGTCGGGGTGTCTCAGATCCATGAGAAATTTGGTGGGAGTAAGAATGTGAGTAGAACCTGCGAGAAAATAGAGCGCGGGCTGACTCTTGGTGAAAGAAAGGAAGAAGAGAAAGAGAGAGAAAGAAAAAAGTGCAAGAAAGCAAGAAAGAAAGAGGGAAAGAAAGGAGACAGGAATGAGAGAAGAAAGGAAGGAAGAGATATAGAGGAAAGAAGGAAGGAAGGAGACAGGAAGGAGAAAAAAGGAGAAAAATGCAAGAAAAAAAGAAAAAAGGGAAGGAAAGAAGGAGAGAAAGAGAAGGAAGGAAGGAAAGAGAAGGAAGGAAGGAGACAGAAATGAGAGAAGGAAGAAAGGAAAGGATATAGAGGAAAGAAGGAAGGTGGGATGGAGACAAGAATGAGAAAAGGACGGAAGAAAGAAAATAAGAAAGAAAGAAAGAAAGAAAGAAAGAAAGAAAG